TCTGTGAGTCAGCCATCAGATGGACTGGCAGGCTGATTACACACACAGACACACACACACACACACACACACACACACACACACACACACACAGAGAGAGAGAGACACACAGGCTGGTATGACATCCTTCAAGCTATCTTGACCCTGCCATCATCTTCATAATCCTGTGATGAATAAGACAGAGACAGAGCTGGAGGGAAACGATGTGCAGGGAGTCAACCAAAAAAATAGAAACACCTTGTGCTATTGTAACAGCATCCAGCAGAACTGCAGTAGATACTGGTGGTCTACTGTTTCTGACCAACACTGCAGAATTATGTCATCTCTCAAAGGGATAGGTCTCAAAACTACTGTAAGCTACTGTATTTCTAACACACAAAAAAAAGAAAAAGCATGAGCCACAGTTTAGAGCCTCATGTGAAGAGACTGATTGACACTTACTGGAATATTTACTTAATACAATAATCTAAAGTCAAAATACAGGTTAAAGTTGAGTCAAGGTCACTGACACAAATGTGCATCACTAATCTGTGCATATGATTTATACTTCACTTACTGTAAATGGCCTTCTGCTACTTACAGTACATTACCAGTGTTACACCATTCATCTTACATAACAACTACTGCAAATCTATATCATGCTCTCATCTCTTCAGAGGCTGCCTGCAAGCTATAGAATAGATTTTTAAGGGTGCTTGTTGCAGATAATGACTTAATGACTTCCTCACAGTTATGTTTCTAACAGGTCGGTGCATCCGGCTCACGCTCACACATGAATTGACCCTCGCTCTAGGACTATTAAAGAAGAAAAAAAAAGGGTTCAAAATGTAAATTCTTAATGGGCTGCACTGAGAGACAGCTGGAAACTTTGGTCATTATACAGTCATATATTTTGGGAACTTCAATGTTTAAGTGTAAGATTACTTGTTCGGATATTTATTACATAATGTGTCTCTCAAAGGAAAGGTGACCCTTCAATGATTTGGTTTTATTTTACAGGGATGCCTTTAAAAAAAGATTCATTTCAGTTTTCATTCGATGGAATTTTATGGGAATGGCCAAAAGTATGTGGACACCAAAGCATTACCCTTCATCCATATTGCGCTACTGTCAAATCCATGTGCATTAATCAACTGCTACAACAGCTATGGGACTTCGGGACCATATTGAGAACGGGACTTCTGGAGATTACTAAGGATTACTAAGGTCTGGTACAGATGTTGGGTGGTAAGGCTCATTTTTCATAAGGTTCATTTAAAGGCCATGGGGATGTGCAGGGCAGGCCTGTCATGGTCTTCCACAACAAACTTAGAAAATCATTTCTTTATGCACTGTCATGTTGAAACAGGAAAGGTCTTGTCCAAACTGTTGCCACAAACACAACAGATTTCCCCCAATTCCCTTAAAAACAGACAAAAGGAGCTTCACCTCAGTCCAAATACTTTATCCCAAACAGATAAATATCCTAGATATAAAATGAATCATTCACGATGAATCATAATGACTGGTGATATCCTGACTTTTCAAATTGTGGCATCAATAGGTCTAAAGATCTAAAATTCATGACTTAATTAATGCCTCAGATTCTATTAAATTACCTCTAATACACACGTGACATCAGCACATTACCGTGAAGTGACTGTTAACATACTGTGTATTCATTGATGTTAACATGCACATTTCACCAGATTACATGTAAAATTTTGGCCACTACAGCTTTATCAGTTTACTGTATCTCTAATGAACCAGGGCCCAACCCGGGGCCCTGGTTCATTTTTTCCCGACTATGGATGACTGTGTGTACTGAGGTGGAGTCTATCACATCCTGCATCCCAGCTCACAGACTGGCTGGTTGTGCGTAATTAGGTCAGTGGAGCTGTTTGCTGGCAAATTCATGAATTATTGATTAGATATAGTCTGCCAATTTGGCAACTCTGCTTTCATTGGAGTTCATTCTTTTTCACTGGAGACGTCCTGTATAATGAGTGAGCTCACAGTTGTAATCGGTGTGTAAGCAAGGAATGAACGTTGAAGATGATGTGGCTGAGTTGAAATGAGGTACAGTGGGCTTGTCTTGTATTCTTCAGAAAGCCACGTTATATAGACAAAAAAAAAAAACAGCAACACTTTGTTCCGAAGCAGGAAGCAAGTAAACATCATATCTCAGTGGAACATCACAGATAAATGCTTGTTGGGTCTGGTGCACTATGCATATGACTTGGGGTTGGGGTTCATGTCCTGTCTCATCCTCACCACAATCTGTTCACTGTCCTTAAACAAGTGCAAGATGTCTAAACATAACCACAAAAACAAGACACTGTTTTCAATATTTTGTCATGTAATGATGAAAAATGAAAAAACGCGGAGGGAAGAATTTAAGCAGAGTGCAGGGGCTTCAGCGACTCAAATGCACAAGAAAAACAAAAAATCACATGAAAAATTAATAGTTTTACATGTGAAAGTTTAAATTTCAGTTATCAAAGTAAAATTTCATGTGAAATGTTCGAAAACCACATTTTGTCCAGTATGCCTATGTGAGAATCCGTCACATATCAAATGTTATTTCATATGCTATAACACACATTTATTTCACTTATGATATTACATATGAATTGATATTTTTCACATTTAGTTTTACATTTGTTGAATGTTAAATACATGTTAAACTCTCATGTACATACAATGTGAATTTTCTCATGTGACATTTATGTGTGAAATGTACTCTGGGCCCGATGTCAACATCTAATTGTAAGACATTTATTCTTTTAGTTTATACCATGCTCACATAGTCCATGTTCCTAGATAAAAAGGGATCTAATGAAATTACTGTGTTGTATTACTGGAGCAAACTGGTGTCTGGATGTAGGTGGGTGGGTTGCAGGACAGTAGAGGATAATAGTAAAGTTTTGCCCTGGGGCAAAATCTGGTAATGCTTGACTAGAGATCTAAAGCAAATGAGTATTTCTTACATAACTGGAGAATTATTAGAAGTCATGTGACTGAAACGGTAGGCGATGATATGGTAAAGAAAAGAGATCATGAATTAAAGCACATGTGAAGACTTACAAACACGATCAGAAGAGATATAAATAATGTCTTAAATCAGTTATGCTTGTGATTATGATGTTAAATATGTGCACTTCTATTTGAAATCTGCCAACTCTCAGTAAATTCAAGCTAAATTTGATTTATGGGTTGTTGACAGAAGCCAACACTATTCAAATGGATGTTTTTTTTCCAGTGAACGTTTGGACTAAATGGATTTGAATCATCTCCCAGTTGAGTTTGATAGTGCCAATATGTGACAGTCTTTCTGTCATTACAAGGGTGTTTTTATAAACAGACTCATGATTTTAAACTTCACCTTTCAGCACTGCAGGAGAGTCTGATCTGAGGGTTGGCTGCTCTGTATGCTGTGGTATTGTATAACAGATCATTTTGTGAGGTTCACTTCTCCAAAATGCAGCTCCAAGTTCATGATGTCTAGACACATGTCCCAGTGGTTTGGCTTCATGCCCTGTCAGTCAGATTTTAACCAACTCTCAGGCCAGAACAAACGGAGAAAAGAATAAAAAAACAAAAACAAAATAGGACTACTAAAGTAACAACAGAAAGTCACATGAAGTTCCATAATGCTGCTCAGATGTGTCATCTTTGCAGGATCCCAGATTTTTTTACAGTCTGTTTTACAGTTTACAATTAACTTAGTTTGAGGAAATGAAACTGCAACAGTCAGTATCAGGTCTCAGATTTCTTCTTAAAACATACTTCATTTTTTATGGACTAGATATGGATTTATTATTATTATTATTATTATTATTATTATTATTATTATTATTATTATTATTATTATTACTATTACTATCATTACTATCATTACTGTTATTACTATTATGACTCAAGTTATGCTCCATATTATAAATTCCTTATTTGGCTCACTCTCAGTTCATGGTCATCCACTCCTCCTATTAACAGTGTAACAGAAAGCATGCCAATCTCAGCTGACTGCACTCACGCTGTCTTCCTGTGTTGTATGTGTGTGTGTGTGTGCGTGTGCATGTGTGTGTGTGAGAGAGAGAGAGAGAGAGAGAGAGAGAGAGAAAGAGTGTCTCCTCCTTTTATTTTCTTCCCAATTACCAAATCCCTCCAAATAAGTTGGTGATGACAGAGCAGAAAATTACACATTACTTCTGTCTGGGACCCCAGCTGTAAACCACAGCTAATACAATGGACTTTCACATGCTCTACATCTGTGACTGATGCTTTATGTAGACTACTATATTTTTTACGCAGCACTATTCTTCCCAAACAATTCTATTGGAATTTCTGGTACTGGAATTAGGCCACTCACACGTCTCTGGGTTCCATTAGACCCCGAACATGTAGGAAAACAATGTACATGCCTTCACCCGCGAATGACTCAAAAGGAACATGCTCATGTAGCCTAGAGCCCATAAAAAAATGAAACATTTCCTTATTCGATGTAATAACGATACTTTATGGTCAGTTTTTGAATTTTGTCACCTTCATCAAATGACGAAGACCATTTTGTGGCAGGCCTACAGTGAAGGGAAGGATTACCACTGACAACATATTGGTTTTAAGAAAAGTTAAGAATAAGTAAGAAGTAAAACTGCTTGACTTTGCAGATAATATTATTTGTTACACTGCATCAGCGGTGGGGGTCTGTACTGGATGATACTACTGTACGATTATCATTAACTGTGATTAATGAGTGTGTTATGTGAATGAAGGCCCACGTTCTTCAGAGCATGGGTCAGCGCCCACTGCTGCGCTGCACCTTGCCCAGAAGGTCGTCGTCACTCCGGGATTACGCACCTTTGACCTCGGGCACTGACAAACAGTAAGCTGCTCACTCAGATGCCAGTGCGACCAAATCCACCAGCAGCAACCGGTTTGTCACATGACTAGCGTGCAGCACTGCCCCTCTCTCTCTGTGTGTGTGTGTGTGTGGCTTTCATTTCCGTGTTCACCGCGGGAGCGCTGAGCTGCTGAATGAGTCTCCACGGCCGCTGTGTGTCTACCTTTCACGCCGCGAAACTGCGTCGCCGTGCGGGGATCTGTCGGGCGGGGGGAGACTCACGCAATCGCATCGCCTGGACCCTCGCTGCAGCAGGACCATGCTCACGCGGGTGAAATCGGCGGTGGCCAATTTTATGGGAGGTATGATGGCTGGTGGCTCCAACGGAGACCATCCCGGCGGCTCGGATCTGCCGCTGAAATTCCCGTACAGTAGACCGGAGTTCCTGGGACTCTCGCCGGACGAGATCGAGTGCTCGGCGGATCACATTGCCAGACCGATCCTCATACTGAAGGAGACCAAGCGGCTGCCGTGGTCCACCGGCTACGCAGAGTGAGTAACCTGTACGCGTCCATCTTTTCTCGCACAGCCACGCACAGCATCCTCAAGAAGTGGACCACTGAGATCACTCAGCAGGGCGTAAACACAAACACCAGCCGCTCCTCTTATGTTGTATTATTATTACATTCACGTGTAGCCTATATTAAATTAATATGAAGCAAAGGCGGAGCAGCTGGCCTTTCCCCATATATTCCCTCAGTATGACAGGCTACCACACAATATAAACACCACAGTTTCCTATGTACAACAGACTATAATCTAGTCTCCATGGCTATATAGGAAGACATTATTATTGTGATACCATAGCAGATGCAAAGAAACCTACTGAAAGCTTTCAGCTGGTGTAGATTCATTATAAGATAAGAGGTCATAATGGGTTTTTTTTATATGCTGCTTCCTCAGATTAGGTTTTCTTTTAAATAGATGTAATATGCTTTATTGGCATTTACCCATAAGGCCATGCTGGAACGCTGGAACTGGAATTCGTCTCCAGATTTCCCACCTTACCTGTTACCTGTGTGCATAGTCTTAATATTGATCATTTTTTTTTGTCCCTGTAAAGCCAGTAAAACCTGATATTTAAGGATGTATTGAAAAGCAGGTTAGCTGTATATGTTCAGTCAGTGTTTTCCATGTCAGACACTGTCTTTCTCCTCCTGCTTAATAACCTACCTGAGACCAGAATTTGCAACCGGATCTCAGATCATCTGTTGTATTATTGATATCACATCGCATCAATCCATTTGGCTCCCTGCCTCTCCTCCTGCCAGCCATCTGTGTTGTATTTTAAATGGATGCATTATAAACAGCATTTAGTTCATTGTATTGACTCATGAAAAGCTAAGTTGTCACTTATAAGCCGTGCTGTTGGTACGGGGAGTGCAGCTGCCAAAGAAAAAGAAATGGCAGAACGTGAGAAAATGCAGATGTGGTGAGATAGTTTGACTATTTTCTAACAGCGACAAACAGCAGAGGTGAGTATGGAAGTATGGAGTACTTAATTTGCATGCATGTATAAGAGCAGCCTGCACAACACAAACAAACCAGTTTGCCTTTCATTACATGTAGCTTACACAACCTTAGACGGTACACAACTCCAAAACATGACAAAGCCTTGTTCTCATCATTGTGTCTCGCCTGAGACCACAGAGTCACAATCACTTCTACTCATACAGACCCACATAAAGTATCTGGGCGGTTACTGAGGCTGTCTCGTAGCTATAGAGGTCACAGTTCAGTCCTTGAGGCAGCCCTAGCTGCACAGTGTGTGTGACACGGCAGTGCCCTGAATTCATAAATTCACAAATGAGAGTTAGGTTGTTCTCTGTTTTTTCCCCTTGACATAAAGTCTTGTCTTCATGCTGTTGATAGGCCTTTATGACAGAACGCCTGTTTCTGACTGTTGAACCGATGATGCTGGATGTTCAGTATGAGCGCTGTGTGCAGAAACGCTCCTTATCTTTTTGCATCTTAAAATTCAGCTTTAGCCGTTCTGCTGTCAACAAAATTTACATGTGCAAACATTTATCATCTGAAGTCAGCCAGGGGTGTCTGCAAACATGACAGCTGACCAGTCCAGTGTCACTCCCTCAGGCAGTTGTTTCTTTGTTAGCGAGAAATAAACAGGACAGAGTAACACTTTAGCACCACAGACATTAGGGTTGAAAATAACAATAATTTGGTTTTATCCATAAAATGTCACAGAATAGCGGGAAATGAGCAGCACAGCAAGCGCTGTCTTCAGATTGCTAGGCCAACAGTCTAAAACTGAAAGATTGTCAGTTAAGAGCAGCAAATCCTCACATTTCAGAAGCTGAAACCACCGAATATATTCAGTACTGAATATGGTTGTCAGTTAATTTTCAGATGATCAGCTAATTGATTCATTTGCTATTTCAGGCATAAAGAGATCTATATGGTGTCAGCTTTTTATAGACAGAAGAAATCCTTTTGAAATTGATCAATTTTCATACACACCCTCCTCTATGCTTCCTCATGCTAATCTGCCATGGAGAGTTTTTAATCTGAAGATGGAAAAGAAAGGAGGATAATTCGCCTCACCCACTCATGTATGTTCTAAAGTGGGTTGTATTTAATTTAAAAAGATAATCCTGATTTTCTTTTTCTTGCTAAAAAATCATGTTCATCATTATTTATCACATTTATTGTTATTTTATGAATTGATGAGGTTTTTTTTTCTCAAAATCAACATATTTTAAACAGGATGCATAATTCTACAGGATCAGCCTCACTTCATGAATAGATGTGATTCTGCTGCTTGTGTGTGTGTGTGTGTGTGTGTGTGTGTGTGTGTGTGTGTGTGTGTGTGTGTGTGTGTGTGTGCGCGCGCGTGTGCATGCATGTACCAGCTTGGCGCAGCATCAGCCAGGACTCAGCCATACTGGGGATTTGTCAACAGCTGGTTGACCAGCAGGCTTTGTTGTTGTGAAATCTCACTGGCTGCGGTGAAGACCTGAACCCGTAGGAGATGATGTGATCCATACAGATCCAGTCAGGAGGGTTAACAGGGTCAGATACCAATGGATCACTCTGAAAGAAAACTGATAGATACTTGTAGTGCGTCTGAAGATTTATCAGCTGGCATTGTGAGGTGCTCTTTTTGCCTGATGCTATTATAAAGTTATTGCTTTTTAAATGTTCTACATATATAGTAGATGTAACAGCAATGTCTTGCTAACAGGAATACTATAATAGATTCTTTAATTTACTTCTTTGTGCTGAAGAAAACATGAAGGGAAACAATCAGTTGAACACATTTTAGGTTCGTGTATGCTCAACAACAGTGACACCTCAACAACTAATGTTCGGATTGTGCAGAAATTCATGGTCTCCAGACAATGAAAACTATACTGACTTTGGTGATCCTCTGACTTTTCCGCCAGTGCAACCATAAGGTTGAAATTTTTGATCTTTAATGAAATATTTCAACAACTATTGGACGGAAAGAATTTGGTGCAGATGTTCATGGTGCCCAGAGGATAAACACTGATGACCTTGGTGATCTCCTGATTTTTCCTCTAGCGCATTCAGTCAAACTTTTAAGTGTCTTTAAGCGCGGGAGCGTAAACATTATAGCAGAGCCACCGCCATTGCTATAGACATAGCTGATATAACAGCATTTATGACTAGCTAACAGTAATACAAAACAGATGCTTTGATTTGCATCTTTATATTGAAGGAAACATGATTCGAAGGGAATCTCTAAATTGGATTAGTTTCAGTAAATATTACAATCGCACTTAGAACTGGGAAACAGTTACTTTTAGCGCTAATTAATCCACACTGTAAAACCTGTAAGATCCAGCAGGATGAACTGCACAGTACTTCTCTGTCTTGTGTTTCTCTCCCTCATCAATGAGCAGGCCTCTCTGAGCCTTTCAGCATCATCCAGGGTTATTGTGTTACTCTCACTGTAGCCCGGAAGAGCAGTTCTGCTTTATGAGGAGGATTCTGATGCACTGTCTCTCTGAGTGGGAGCACTGTCAGGTCCAGTGAGCATGATCATTTGAATGGATCAGTGAGTATTGCTCACTTGTGTCACCCTTTTCTTTCCTTGTGCAGCACACGCACAGGCCTCAATTTTGCAGACAGCCTACATTTAGCGCAGCTGTTCTCCCCAGCACCGAGCACTTTGGGTGCAGCGCTGTCATGTTGCATGTTGCTTGGTGGAGAAGTGATAAGGGAAACTTGCTCGTAATGTCGCCCTGAGTGATGTCAACACAGGTGTGCTCTCTCCTGGAAGTCTTTTCCGTTTTTGGAGGGGCTCACCCTGCTGTGACTAGGTCCATTCACAAAACCAAAAAATGCAAAGGCATATACACTCAGTGGCCACTTGATTATGCACAACTGTACAATTTTATGCAATTCAGTGCCATAAATTCAACCTTTTACGATTATGACATTTACAATCTTTGGTTCATGGTGACATTGTCGGTATTTATTACTGAGGTCGTAGTTAAAGGCGGAACAGTGAAGGCAGTACGGAATAAGGGACAGTGGGCTCCACCTAATGTGTAGCTTCAGTTTGGATTTTGCTGATGAGAACAAATCAAAGCAGGCAGTTTTCTGCATAAAACACAGTAGGCGGAGTAGCACAGTGGTGAAATGATTACACCAAAGCCAGTGCTTTTCTAAAGTGGCCTGTAGTGGAGTGGTCATTACGAACCCTTCATCAACATGAGAGATCCATCTTTGATGATGGAGTAGAAAAACTGGCTTCACCTTTCGTCCTCTCCTCCACTTTTTTTCCTCTTCTTCAAATCCTCCACCTTGCGTGTTGGCAGAGGAGAGTAGTTGTACTGTGAGGGCAAAGAATAAGTCGTGACAAAGCTTTCCCCACCGACCCAGAACCGACAACATCACCCCTGCAACCTCAGCAGCAGCCCGATCGATGCTTTAATCAATATGCGTGTCTGTAAGCTAAAGACTAGCACCGCCACTGCACACTGTATGTTTTGGCTGAAGGTCAGCAGACATGTATGTGTTAGAGCATGTCAGTGCAGGCAGAAAGTTGGAAAACTCTGTGTTAGAATCTGCGGTAAGGGATCACAGACAAGAAGATGGCAGCTTCAGGGTGTTTAACGGTGTGGAGTCAATTCAGGGCACGCACGTTCAAAGGATCTTTTGAAGATAAAAAGGTGCTGATAAAAGTTGTAAACTCTACAAACATGCCATAAATACCTTTGTTGTCCTTCTATTTTTATTGGAGGGGTTTTCTTCAGTCTTTTCCTTCCATTTTTAATACTCAATACACCATTGTAAAGGAGCCAAATGAAGTCAGTGTTACACTCAAACTCTGGAGTGGAAGCACATGAGCAGCTCCTCATACATACAAAGCCTCCCAGTGCTCAGTCACATGACGCAGCACATGTTCTTGTGTTTTTTTCTGCTACATCAACACGGCACGTCGCTCCGAGGCAGAAACAGTGTGGTGCCGTTTCGGTTCATCGCCATCTTTCTTCATTGTGTGG